AAACTTGATTCGAAATGAATCTTTCTCCTTTTGAGCATGCATTATATTATCTACTGGCTTTATATTTGTATTGAGTACATTGGATAATTGTTTTTCTACTCTTATGACACTTTACTAAGAAGAATGTGTTTCAACTCCATCCAGGACATTACAACAGATGTGAAGTCACTATCTTTTTTATGGCTGAATATTATTCCATGGTGTGCATATGCTAAAATTTGTTAATCCATTCCATTCCTGAGTTGATGGGCATTTAGGTTGTTTCCACATCTTGGTGACTGTAATTGAGTCACAATAAATAATCTAGTGCAAATGTCCTTATGTTAAAATATTTTTTTCTTCCGGGTAGATGCCTAGTAGTGTGATTGTAGGGTCAAATGGGAGATCTATTTTGAGATCATTGAGGATTCTTCATACTTCTGTCCAAAGCAGTTGTATTTCTCTGCAGTCCCACAAACAGTATAAAAGTGTTCCTCTCTCTCCTCATCTGTGCCAGCATCTGCAGATCAACTTTGGAACTTTCTGACATGTACTAATCTTTGTGGGGTTAGGTAATATCTCAGGGTGGTTTCAATCTGCATTTATCTAATGATGAGGGATGATGAGCATTTTTTTCATATCTTTGTTAGCCATTCATTTGTATTCCTTGGAGAAGGTTCTGTTCATGTCTCTTGCCCAGTGATACATGGTATTTTTAGCTCTTTTTTTGTTGATTAATTTGAAATGTCTGTAGATCCTAGTTATCAAGCATTTGTCCACTTCGTAATATGCAAATATCTTTTCCCACTCTGAAGGTTGACTGCTTTGGTTGTTGTCTCCTTAGCTGTACAGAAGCTTTTCAGTTTAATTAAGTCCCATTTGTTTATTTTTGTTGTTGTTGCAATTGCCATAGAAGTCTTCTTCATAAAGTCTTTTCCCCAGGCCAATATCTTCAAGTGTTTTCCCCACACTTTGAGTATTTTTGTTGTTTCATGTGTTAGGTTTAAATCTTTTATCCATCTTGAATCAATTTTTTTAAGTGGTGAAAGTTGCAGGTCCAGTTTCTTTTCTTTTCTTTTTTTTTTTATTAAGTGATAGCTGTATACATGTGGTTATCCAGTTCTCCCAGAATCATTTATTACATAGGGATTCTTTTCACCAGTGTGTGCTCTTGTTTAATTTATCAAAGATAAGTTGGCTATAGGATGTTAGTTTCAACTCATGGTTTTTTATTTGGTTCGAAGTGCCTATGTGTCTATTTTTGTGCCAATCCCATGCTGTTTTTATCACTATGGACTTCTAATATAACCTAAGGTCTAGTAGGGTGATACCTCAGCTTTTTCTAATTACTAAGAATTGCCTTGGCTATAGAGGTTTTTTTTTTCTGGTTTCATATAAAATGAAGCACTATTTTTCCAGTTCTTCAAAATATGATTTTGATATTTTAATGGGGATTGCACTAAATCTGTATATTGCTTTGGGAAACACAGACATATTAACTATGTTCCTTCTTCCTAGTCATGAGCATGGTATGTTCTTCCATTTGTTAATATCTTGTGCTATTAATTTTCTTAGGGTTTCAAAATTTCCTTTGTAGATATCCTTCACCTCTGTAGTTAGGTGTATTTCTAAGTATTTCATTTTGTTTTGAAGCTATTGTGAAGGAAATTGTGTCCTTGATTAGCTACTCAACTTGGCTGTTGTTGACATATACAAAGGATATTGATTTGTGGATATTGATTTTATGTCCTGAGATATTACTATATTTTTTGATCACTTCCAGGAGTCTTGTGGTTGAGTCTTTGGGGGTACTCTAAGTATAAAATCACATCATCAGCAACAAAAGAGAGTTTGACCTCCTCTGCCCCTATTTGGATGCCTTTTATTTCCTTCTCTTGCCTGATTACATTGGCTGTAACTTTCAACACTATGTTGAATAGTAGTGACAATAGAGGACACCCTTGCCTGATTCCAGTTTTAAGTGGAAAACCATTTAGTTTTACTCCATTCAGTATGATATTTGCTATTGGTTTGTCATAGAGTGCTTCAGTCAGTTTAAGAAATATGCCATCTATCCTTATATTTGTAATTGTTCTTGTTAAAAAAGGAAGCTGAGTTTTATTGAATGTTTTTTCCTGCATCTATTGAGAGTATCATATGGTGTTTGTTTTTGCTTCTATTAATATGGTGAATTACATTTATGGATTTGCATATGCTAAACCAGCCTTGCATCCCTGGGATGAAACTTACTTGATTATGATGTGTAAATTTTTTAATGTGTAGCTGTAATCTATTAGGTAGGATTGTATTGAGAATTTTTGCATCAATATTAATTAGTGAAATTGGTTTATTGTTCTTTTTAAGTGGGTCTTTATCTGGTTTTAGTATCAGGATGTTTGCTTCATAGAACATGTTTGGGGACAATTCCATGCTTCTCAAATTTTGGAATAATTTCTGCAGTATAGCTTTAAGTTCTTCTTTGAGGGTTTGATAGAATCATAGTGTGAAGCCATCTGGACTAGGGTTTTTTTTTGTTGGGAGATTTTTTGTTTCTTTGATCTCAGTGCTTGAAATTGGTCTATTCAAGAGATCTATTTCTTCCTGGTTTAATCTAGGGTGTGATTCCGAGTATTGATCTATTTCCTCCACATTGTCAAATTTGGGAGATAGAGTCTCTTATTGCATTCAGAAATAATCTCTCACACTTCTGTGTTACCTGTTGTTATTTCCTCTGTATCTTTGCCACTGTAATTCAGTTGATGCTTACTTTTGGCAGCTTGCAGAATCTTCCTTTTTGTCTTGACCTTGGACAGGCACATGGCATTATGTCTTAGAGATGCTCTGTTTGAGTTGAGACACCCCAGGGTTTGATATCCCACTGAAAGGAGTGTGTCAGAATCTTTAGTGAAACATGGAAAGTTTTCATTTGTGATAACCCCCCGTAGGGTTTCCATTCCTTTGGGATGTTCTTATCCTTCAGGAATTCCTATAATTCATATTTTTGAACAGCTTGTGAAGTAGTCCCATAGTTTTCTGAGTGATTGTCTGCTTTCTCTTTCTTCTTTCTGTGTCTTTAACTACCTGGGTTAGCTCATGAACTTTATCCTGTAGCTTTGAGATTCTTTACTCCTCATGGTCTAATCTATTAATCATACTTTCTACTGCCTCTTTACCTTCCCTTATTGTCTCCTTCATTTCCACCATATCCTTTATATATTCCTCATGTTTCTCACACATCTTTTGGTTCTATTTTTCCACTTTTTCTTCCATTCCCTTTATTATATTTAACATCTATGTTTTAAATTCCCTTTCTACCAACTTTAATAACTCTTTATAGGTGGAGTTCTTTGCAATAGGTGCCTCATGGTCCTTTGGCGAATTTGCTCTGTTTTGCTTTTTCATGTTGCCATAATTTTTCTGTTGGTTCCTCCTCATATGAGTTTTCTTCTTGTACACCTCCTTACTCTGCTTTAACCTTCTCACTTTCTCCTTTGCTTTAAATTACCTTGTCTCAGAGCTTAGTTGTTGAGACTGTCTCCTGGTATAAGGCCAAAAGGAAGAGAAGAGTAAAGAGCAAGCAGCAAGAAAGAAGAGCAAAACAATGAAGATAAGTGAAGGATAGCGAAAACGGGAAAAAAAGGAAGGGGTATGAAATAAAATAATTGAAGAGCAGGAGGGAATGAATGCTGGAAGAAAGAATGAGAGTGATAGGGGTAATGGTGTTGTTTGACATGGTCATAAGGCCATGCCCATAATGCAAGGATTTTGTGGGGCTAGGCTCAGTGGGCTAGGCTCAAAATCAGGAGTTCCTTGCCAGCCTGAGCAAATCCAGACCCTACCTCTGCCAAATACAGGAAGAGAAAGAAAATAGAAAAAAACAAAAACAAGAAAGAAAGAAAAAGTAAATAAAAAAGAAAGAGATAAATTCAGCATTGCTGACTTACCAATACAGTCTTCTCAATGCCAAAGGTAGAAAAAGGACTCTCTGGACTGTGATGTCTTGGCTTCCTTGGGCTAGACCACTGCTGTGACCTCTCAATCAGACTAAAACCATGCTACACCATCACTCAGAGAAAAGAGAAAGAAAAAAATAGATAAAATTAAAAACAGTTGTATCAAATAAGGGAGAGAGAAGGAATGGGATAAAAGAAAGAAGAAAAACTAAAAAGGGGGGATATCTTAGCTGTTGTATGAGCAATTTACGTTGGAAAGACGAAAAAAGTAGAGCAGTCTCTATCAAAAGTGAGAAGGTATTTGCAGATGAATGGGACCAGAATTCATACTGGGGGGGGGTGCTAAACTCTAGGAGTGTTGATTTTTTCCAGTCATTCAGGGTTCAAGTTGGAAACCTGGTGGGGAAGTGTTTTACTGTTGTATAACAATATCCTTTCACAGCACTTATGTCTGCAAGTCAGCAATTGGGGGGGGGAGGGAGTGAAGAGTAGGAGAAGACGCGGAGAAGGCTTGGAACTAGGGTGCAGACTTTGGAATCTGAGACAGAGGGCACAGGAGGGTGAGCACTTGCCTCTGATTGGCCTGTGGGCATTGTCAAGGTCCCATGCAGCTGTTTCCATTGGTTGGTGTTCACTATTGTTGTGCTGGCAATGGGAATCTTGCCTACGTACTTTAGAGCAAGGGTCAGGGCTGTGACCTGGTGCACATGCAGGTTGGGGGCTCCACCCAGTATTATAAGAACTTTTGAGGGGGTGGGGCTAAGAAGTACTTGTTTTGGTTGTTTCCTTTGAAGCTGAAGGTTGGAAGGAGCATAGCAATAAACTCACTGGACTTGGCAAGAAGGCACCGACAAACTCGTCCTTTGATTTGGACTTCACATCCGGTTTCTCCTCCTATTGTGACTTACACGTTGCCACTGACAACAGTTCTAGAACTGGTGCTTAGAATCCTTTATCCAGATGTAGCCATTCTCATCGTGCTTCGCACATTATAGTAGACCTGTCAACTGAGTTCTCTTCCCGTATGCTCCGTGCCAGGTTTGTTGACGGGTACTTGGCGGTGTCGCCATGACTATTTTCCCCAAAAAGAAGTCACCGCCTCCTGATGCTGACGCCACTAACGAGCCGCCAACACCTGGGCCACTGCCTCCGGAGCCACACTGCAGCGGGGGTGTGGCCATGAGCGGAGGTGGTGATTGTGACCGTGACTTGGGTGTAGTGGGGGCCTGTGCTAGGGCTTCATCACCACCTCAGGGCCCGCTACAAGGGCCAGAAGGTGCTACTCACAGCTGGGCTCTAGCTGTGCCATCGGGTGCAGTGGCAGGTCCCCAGCCACAACAGGCCTCTCCTCCTCCTTGCAGGAGCCCTGGTGGTCCTGGCAGTGTTCCTGGGGATGAGCTGGGTGCAGCAGCAGTGGCTGCTGGCATGGGCGCTGCCATAAGTGTGTTTGGCTGCTTCTCTGGGTTGGGACATAGTAAGCGGCTCCGTCAAGCTGCAGGGATTGGTGCTCTTGGTGAAGGCAGTCTTGAGGAAGAGGAGCCTGGCGCAGGTTACAATAGTGAGGATGAGTATGAAGCAGCTGCTGCACGCATTGAGGCAATGGATCCTGCTACTGTTGAGGAGCAGGAGCACTGGTTTGAAAAGGCCCTACTAGACAAGAAGGGCTTCATCATTAAGCAGATGAAAGAGGACGGTGCCTGTCTTTTCCGGGCTGTAGCTGATCAGGTATACGGAGACCAGGATATGCATGAGGTGGTGCGAAAGCACTGCATGGATTATCTGATGAAGAATGCTGACTATTTCTCCAACTATGTCACAGAAGACTTTGCCACCTATATTAACAGGAAGCGGAAAAACGACTGCCATGGCAACCACATTGAAATGCAGGCCATGGCAGAAATGTACAACCGTCCCGTGGAGGTATACCAATACAGCACAGAGCCTATCAACACATTACATGGGATATATCAAAATGAGGAAGAACCTATTCGTGTAAGCTACCATCAGAATATCCACTATAATTCAGTGGTAAATCCTAAAAAGGTCACCGTTGGTGTCGGGCTTGGCCTGCCATCATTCAAACCAGGGTTTGTGGACCATTCCCTGATGAAGAATGTTATAAAAACATCAGAGGAATCGTGGATTGAGCAGCAGATGCTGGATGACAAGAAACAGGCTTCAGACTGGGAGGCCACAAACGCGGCCATTGAGGAACAGGTGGCTCGCGAATCCTACCTCCAGTGGCTGCGGGATCAAGAGAAACAGTCTAGCCAAGTTCCAGGCCCCAGCCAGCCCCGAAAAGCCAGTGCTGCATGCAGTTCAGCAACAGAAGCAGCCTCCAGTGACCTGGATGAGTGGACCATTGGGTCCCCGATGCATCGCAGTGCAGCCTCTTCACCAGAGCACCCTGAGCTGCATGCTGATCTGGGCATGAAGCCCCTTTCCCCGGACACTGTTATGGCTCTTGCCAAGCCTCCTTCGCCCTGTGCACTTGGTCTGAATGACTGGGATGATGATGAGATCCTAGCATCGGTGCTGGCAGTGTCGCGACAAGAATATTTAGACAGTATGAAGAAAAATAAAGTGCTCTGAGATCCCCTCCCAGACAAGAGTTGATGGAGACCGGACATCGTCTCCCAACCCCCACCACTCCTTCCCTCTGGTGCCACCCCACCTTTGGCTTTCTTCCCTCTTGCCTCCTTTCCATTTCCCTTTGGCTGACCCACTCATGCAATCCATCTTATTGCTGCCGTAACCACCATCACCTGTCTCTTCGCCAGCTGAAGTGCCCTGTTACTCCCCCATCCCTGAACCGTACCATCCCTGATTCCACAGGGGACTTGGGCAAGGGTCCCAAAGGTAGGCAAGAGGCACACAGAGACAAATCAACTGACAGCAGCCAGGCAGCCCCAAAGGAGAGAGACAGACAGAGGAAAGTCTCCCTGTCCCCCATTTCTTCCAAGATCAGAAAAACTTGTCACCCATGGAGGAAGAAATGGAATATTTCCCTTCCACGTACCCCAAGAATGTCTGGGTCTTCAATGTTGAATTTATTCTTTATTAAAATGAGCTTTTATCTTATAAAATCAACCAGTAAAAAATGATACAGACAATAGCATTGGCTCTGTGTTTTCTCTCTGGGTTTGCGGGCAGGCAGGCCATAGGGTATGGAGGGGGCACAAAGATGTGGGTTGCTGTCTTCTGGCCTCTAGCTTTATGGAGGTGAGCAGAGCATCTAGGGCAGGGGTGACAGGTGTCAGACCAGGTTTAGACAAATGAGACCCTGACCTTGCTGCATTCCTTTTGTTTCCACCACCACCACTACTAGTCTCTTTTGGAATCTTGGAATGGGGAGCATCTTTTGGATCATCACTACAACCCAGGATTTCAGTGTAGGGAGTGGGAGCAGCCTTGGCAGATGCGGCACTGTGCCCTGCAGGTGTTGACAAGATCAGCCATCTGTAATGTCCTTGGCACAATAAAACCAAAGTCAGTTTAAGAAAAAGAGAAAGAAGGAGAGAAGTGAAATAGAGAGAAAAAATAAATGCTGCTGAAATACCATATCCAAAAATACATGATCCCTTGTTACTGATCAAAGTCAAAATGGAAATTAAGAAAAGAAACAAATTAACAAAAACAAAATGATAAAAGAAAAAAATCTTAAATACCCCACAACAGCAACAACCTCAGCAACAAAGAAAGGAAAAGGAAAAAAAAATGAAAAAAAAAAACATGTATATATAGAGAGAGAAAATAAAAAAATAGGTTTTATTACTAGAGATAGAGAATAAAATAGCAGTTACTATGGTCAGGGTAGGAGCAGAGATGGGAGATTCAAAGTGTACAAAGTAGCAGACATGGGGGGTGAGAAAGGATAGAGACCTAATGTACAACATGAGGGCCATGGTTAATAAAATAATATTGTGTTAGGCATTTTGTTAAGTAAGTATATTTTAGCTACTCTCCATGTGCTTAAAAATGTAACTACATGAGATGCTCAAAAACGTAACTATGTGAGATTAACATATGTTAATCTGCTTCACTGTAGTGACATTTTATTATCTTTTTATTCAATTTATTATTTTTAGGAACAAACAAACTCATCAGGGTATTTTAAGTGCTCAACACACCCACCAATCTATTGAATTATGCTGATCCAGAATTTGTGCTGTGGAATTCATTGTGTCTGAAGGTTGTGATGCCTCTTTTGTGATGCAAATAATATAAGTATCAATAATTTTTTAAAAAGTATCATGAGGTTGAAGTCATTGTGCTTATATTACTGTTTTGATAAATTACTTTCTTCTTTAGACAGTATCAATTGACTCCCTTTTTTGAAAGATTAATACTTTTGAAACTTCCTCCCCCTTTGCTCTCCTCACACCTTCTGAGTATTGTTAAATACCATTATTTCTAAATCATTTAGATTTTAATGTTCCATTTTGTTCTGTGAATATAATTTTGAGAATTTTTTGGTACTAGCACTAGGCTTGAATAAATTTAATGCATACAGCCACTGGAGGTGGCATCCTTGGGAAAAAAAAAAAAAAAAACACGAAAAATTATATGTTGCAGAAGGGAGCAACTCTAACAGGAATACCAGACAATTCCCAATGGTGAGTGAGCCACTCAACTTGCCCCATGACTAGAAGCCCAGTCTCAGCAAGTGAGACAGAGGCAGCCAGGTTTCAGGGCCCTGCGGACAGACCTACCCACACGCCCTTCCCACAATGGCAGCCCTGCTAGCAGCTGGGATCTTCAGAGTAGGGCTGTCCTGTCAGCAACCAAGCTGATGGTAAGTCCACTTCACCTGATATTCAAACCTGTTGCTGTACACTATTTGAGTCTGCCCACTATTCCAAGCTTTCCACTTAATGCTCAACTTCCCCTGAAATCTGAAAACTGCAGAAAGGCTTCCTCCCATCCCCAGACCTCTGGTGGTAGGCAGCTGGTTCTTGCCAGCCCCTTACTGAGTCAGACCTCTACAGTTCCAGATCTCCTGCTGTCTCCTGCAGTCCACTACAACCTTGCTGCACTCTTGGAGCTCAGACTCTAGGTAAGTTCCCTGCACCTGAATAGTTAGGTTCCCTTTTTTTCATCTGCTGTACTAGGGGAAGCCAGCAGAGAGATCCTACTAGTCTGCCATCTTGCTCCATCCTCAGTTGGCAGAGTGACACATTTCTATTTAAATGCTAGGTCCTTCATAAACTGCTAAACATCTTTATCTATAATAACCAAAGTAATAGAAACACTAAAATCTTACACAAAATTTAAATTATAAATTAATTTTTAAGAATTGTTTTTAAAAAACTAAATATGGAATTCCACTGAAATACAGAACTTCAACCCAGAACAGCATGGAGCTAGTTAAAACTCTGATACCTGACATATCTATAAATCTATAGGCCAAGGATGGTTGGGATCATGATTATTATGAAGAAAAGATTAAAATAGAATGCTTGTATTTAGTTTTGGCATAGAAGGCCACGGAACAAGCATAGGTCACTTCGTGTATGTTAAAAATTCTGGTTAGGACACTAATTAGCCGTGTGGCTGTAGGAAATTTACCTAGCCTTGCTAAGCCTCAAATTCCTTATCTTCAAATTAGGCTATTAATAATTACCCAATAGAGTCATTGGAAGAATTAAATGAAATAACAAATGTAGAAGCAGAAAATAATAGTTTTAGATGGTTTAATAGCATTTACCTTGTTGAAATCTATTTTTAAATATTTGGTAATACCTATATGGAAGATACATTAATTTGTATGTTAACATATTAGCTGGGAATATATGATTAATAAACACATATGATCTCAAGTTGTGCCACTAAGACTTATTATTCATAACAGAGAGATTGAAGTAGCCGTAGATATACTATAGGCAGCATTTTAGATCGGATGGAAGTGTTCACTGTGAACATTTCATGATATAACTTTCTTAGATAGCAAATGAACTCAGAATTGATGATTGATTTGAAGATGAAAGCATCAACAATTTATTTTCTTTCTTATAACCTTGCCTTGTTCTTAGGAACTTAATATGTAGCTCTTAATGATTTTCTGAAAGAATAAGATGTAGCTTCATTTGGGAGGCTGAGGTGGGCAAATTGAATGAGTTCACAGGTTTGAGACCAGCCTGATCTAGAGTGAGACCCCATTTCTAAAAAATAGCTGGGCATTGTGGCAGGCGTCTGTAGTCCCAGCTACTTGGGAGGGTGAGGCAAGAGGCTCACTTGAACCCAAGAGTTTGAGGCTGCTGTGAGCTAAGACACCACAGCACTCTACCGAGGGTGACCAAGTGAGACTCTATCTCAAAAAAAAAAAAAAAAAAAGATGTAGCTTTTTTCTCTGAAAAGGATGTTTACACATTTAAAATGAAATAAATGACTACTTTTTTATTGCAATGTATAGCTAAGAACTTTTGTTATCCAATGTATGACACAATCACAGAAATAGTTTCACAAAGATTTAGATAAATTAAAGGATTATATCGTACATCTCTAATAGAATTACCAAGAGAAAAAGGGGTTTATAAAATACAACCAAACTTGTTGAGGTTAATGTAATAGAGGACAACTATGGGTCTTTCTCTGTCCCAACATCTTTCCTTCTACAAATATTTTGGCTATAGTAAAGCAATTAATGAGTGATGATAAGCTTTCTTTGTTTGTGATTATGGTAACAAAATATTCTTAGGAGTTCCAATATGTATCTAGATTTAAATAAACTCTACATTATAGTGTGTTACATGACAGAAAAGCTCCAATGAATTATGCATTAGAATTTTGACAACTTCAGATATCCACTATTTCTACATTTCCTGTCACCATCATGTTTCCATAATTGTGAGACTAAAGTCTGACCTGTCTAAGGACTTATTTTGCAGATATATGTTTTTAGCATTTCCTCCACCACATTTTGTAGTGCTGACAGCATACTACATTCATGACTTGATGACACTATGTCACACCCCTCTTGAGTGGAGACTTCTCACATTAAACTATGAGAAGAGTACTTGACTTTCTGTTATTTTTATCATATTGTAAACTCATATTTAATTTTTTCCTCCCATCATCTTATTTTTCCTTGAGTGTCACTGCTTTGCTGCTTTCTACAGGCTGCAGATGATTATACTTCTTCTTTTTCCTCCTCAAATATGCGTCATTTGCCTGAATCCACATACTAAATGTGTAATATTTGGATAATCCCAAATTCCAACAATAACATCACACCAATTTAATGCTTTCCAGAAGTTTGGATTCACTAATGATACAAAAATGCTGAATAATGAAATGTAGCTTTTGATTTCTCCATGTACTCAAATATACCCAATATCTCAAAAGATACACACAGATTTCAGTAATAAACAAAAAAAATTGCTGGAACTCAATTATACTTGATTTATAATGAAAGCTATCTTTTTAGTATTGTAAAAAATCCCACATGGGATGACATTTTGATAATTCTGATTTTATAAGACAAATTCTATTTTGATTTCAGATATTAATTATAGTAAATGAAATAATGTACTGTTTTGGAGAATTTCTCAAATTATGATGACATTAATGAGCTAATATTTTAGAAGTCACAG